TTGTTCCTTTTTGTTCCATTGTGTATGGGGCGTGTGTGTGTGTGTGTATTTGTATACCACAACTTCTTTATCCATTCATTTATTGATGTGCACTTAGGTTGCTTCCATATCTTGGTTATTATAAATAATGCTGCAATGAACAAAGGGGTGTGTGTATCTTTTTGAATTAGTGTGCTTTCTTTTTTCTTTGCATTAATACCCAAGAGTGAAATTGCTGGATTGTATGGTAGTTTTATTTTTTAATTTTTTGAGGAACCTCCATACTATTCTCCATTGTGGCTACACCAGTTTACATTCACACCAAGAGTGTACAAAGGTTCCCTTTTCTCCCCATCCTTGCCAACACTTGTTATTTGCTGTCTTTTGATAATAGTCATTTGACAGGTGTGAGGTGATATTGTGGTTTAGAGTTGCATTTCCCTGATGATTAGTGATGCTGAGCATCTTTTCATGTGCCTGTTGGCCATCTGTATGTTTTCTTTGGAAAAATGTCTACTCAGGGCCTCTGCCCATTTTTTGATTGGGTTGTTGGGTTGTTTTTTCTTTTTTTCTTTTTTTGATGCTGAGTTGTATGAGTTCTTTGTATATTTCTGATATTAATCCCTATCTGGATACATCATTTGCAAATACCTCCTCCTATTCAGTAGGCAGCCTTTTTGTTTTGTTGATAATTCCCTTTGCTGTGCAAAAGCTTTTTAGTTTGATGTAGTCCCAATTATTTATTTTTTATTTTGTTTCCCTTGCAGGAGGAGACATATCCAAAAAATATATTGCTAAGATCAATGTCAAAGAACCTACTGCCTATGATTTTGTCTAGGAGTTTTATGGTTTCAGGACTTACATTTAAGTCTTTAATCCATTTTGAGTTTATTTTCTTATGTGGTGTGAGAAAGTAATCCATTCTGATACTTTTGCATGTAGCTTTCCAGTTTTCCAACACCATTTGTTGAAGAAGCTGTCTTTTCTTTATTGTGTATTCTTGTCTCCTTTGCTGTAGATTGACTATATAAGTGTGGTATATTTCTGGGCTCTCTATTCTGTTCCATTAAACTATGTGCCTGTTTTGGTGTCAGTACCATACTGTTTTGAGTACTGTAGCTGTGTAGTATAGTTTCAAGTCAGGGAACGTGGTAACTACAGCTTTGTTCTTCTTTCTCAAGATTGCTTTGGCTATTCAAGGTCTTTTGTGTTTCTATACAAATTTTAGAATTATTTGTGAATTCATACAATTCTGTGAAAAATGTCTTTTGTATTTTGATAGGGATTGCACTGAATCCATAGATTGCTTTGGGTAATGTGGTGATTTTTACAATATTAATTCTTCCAATCCATGAGCATGGTATATGTTTCTATTTGTTAGTGTCATCTTCAATTTCTTTCATGAGTGACATAGTTTTCTGAGTACATGTCTTTTACCTCCTTAGTTAGATTTATTCCTAGGTAATTTTTTTGGATGCAATTGTAAATGGGATTGGAAAACAGGTTAAAATTTGTCTTTTTTTTTTTTTTTGGGTCCTTTAAACCATCAAATTACTGTCTTTTTTTAAATTGTTTAAAATAATTCCTCTCTCTAAGCCACCAATTCAATATGAAATTAAATGCATTATTTTTATTTGGAATTGTTAAGGATTGCTTTTATTTTTATTTAATTTTGTTTATAAATATTTTTTAAAGTTACATGGTTTTAAAGTCAAATTTATAAAACAAGCCATATTCAAAGAAGTCTGTTTTCTGTCCCTTTTACTTTGCTTCTTTTACCCCATTTCTCTAAGAAGGAAAATATATTTTTGCCTGTTTTGAGACACATACATGTATTTCCACCCTTAGACAAAAGGCGGTCTGTTATGTACACTTTTCTCCACTTGTCTTTTTTCATGAACACTATATCCTGGAGATAATTCCATAGCAGATAGTTATATTTCAGTGTTTTTGCAGATGCACACATTTCTATTGTTTGAATTTACCATAAATTATTCAATCAGTCTTCTCTTGATGAACATTGGGGTTTATAGCTTTTCAATATTATAAAAGATTTACATTGAATATGGATGAGTAAATCAATTTATATTCAAGTGTATCTCTGACATAGATGTCTAGAAATGAAATTTCTGGGTCAAAGGGCAAATACATGTACTTTTGCTAGTTTTTCCAAATTACCTTCCACAGGTGTGCCATTTTACAAACACATATCTAATTGCATAAGGAAAGACTGTATAGATTTATAGTTAAAGACTAAATATAATCTAATGTCAACAAAAACAAAGAATTAGGGCTTCCCTGGTGGCGCAGTGGTTGAGAGTCCCCCTGCTGATGCCGGGGACACGGGTTTGTGCCCTGGTCCGGGAAGATCTCACATGCCGCGGAGTGGCTGGGCCCGTGAGCCATGGCCGCTGAGCCTGCGCGTCCGGAGCCTGTGCTCCGCAGTGGGAGAGGTCACAACAGTGAGAGGCCCACATACTGCAAAAAAAACACCAAAAAACAAAGAACTATCCAAAATATAAATTGCATTTTTATTTAAGTTATTCTTTTGCCGATAGCTATTTGTTTATATAATAGCTCTGTCTTGATGGGAGCTCTGTCACAAATAGTATTTGCTAAACCTAATCCATTACAATTATACAGTGCAAAATTATCAATATTGGAATACATTCTTATTTATAAAGCACTATCATCTATGAAACCAGCTTACCTCCACATGATTCACCTTTTCACCAGAAACTTAACAGCAGTAGAAATTACACATTTGTTCACTCTCTGTATCTCATAGTAGACATTAGCCCTTTTTCATTAAGCCATAACCTATACATTATGAAACCATCTCAGAAAGTCACTAACTTTTTGACTAGAGAATACTGAAATTTTAAAAACGTTATTTTAAATACTTAGATTTGCTTCTAAAGGGTGTCTTAGGACAGATTGGTATTTTACTCCTCTGGCTTAAAGCTGTTGAGTGATTCATAATGAGATGACTGACAAAACCCAAAGTAATAGTCCTGAAAACCACTACTCCATTATCTGCTTCTCTTTATTGACATAGTGAGGGGAGAATTAATTTTAAAATGTGGTGACTATTGATTAGTTAATGGCAGAAGATACTGTAGAGAAACGCTGAAGTGAGCCTATTCATGCCGGGCAACACGACCGATTATCCAGTGGTGGATATCATGCTGTAACCCTCATTAATATTTAGTAGGCAGGACATAGGCTGGTTGTAGACTACAAAATTGCCCTAAGCACAGGCTCCAATAGGCCATAAGAATGTTTCAAGTAGATAAAAGGGTAACAGATTTCCCTGTGTTCAGATAGTTTATAAGCAACACAAGAATACACTCAATTCCCTTTTGTGATTTCTGGGCAATGATGGCCTGGCAGAAATACCTACTAGGCAAGTAGAAATGTTTAATGCTCTGGGAAATACACTCTAAGTTAGTAAGCCCTGTGTGAGAACCAGAGTGGTTCTCAGTTTCAGTCCTTTTTCTCTCCTCTCGCCACAAGCTGAAGGGCTTCTTCATCAAGGGTAGCAAGTCAGCAAAAGGCATTATTTGTGTCTAACACAGCCATCAAATTTGGGGCGACGTTCTGTATCACACTATCTATCAAGCTAACCCCTTGTCACGTGTCAGGATCTTTTTATTTCAACTGATTTAAAAGGGAAACAAGGAGTTTTAAAGATCACTAGTAGGGGGCCTCCCTGGTGGCGCAGTGGTTGAGAGTCCGCCTGCCGATGCAGGGGATACGGGTTCGTGCCCCGGTCCGGGAGGATCCCACATGCCGTGGAGCGGCTGGGCCCGTGAGCCATGGGTGCTGAGCTTGCGCGTCCGGCAACGGGAAGGGCCACGACAGTGAGAGGCCCACATATCGCCAAAAAAAAAAAAAAAAAAGATCACTAGTAGGGAGACATGAGTATAAAAATTCTTGTAAAGACTAAGAGCCTTTGAAGCCGACTTGAACTAAAATGGTCTGTGACTTTTAAAGGACAATACAAAGTTTTATAGATTACTGACTCCCATTTTTAACTTTTCAAATTACCAGGTTATTTTTCAGTACCACCAGCTTATTTTGAAAATATTATAAGCTTGAAACGAGATAAAGTTCTTAAGATAACATATTCTTGGGATTTGTGGGTATATAAAGTCTGTAACATCCGATATCCACCATCCCAAACAATGTATAAAATTAAATAGTGAGAAAATATCAATTTTGTGACTCAAAAACTCTAAAGATTTTTGAAAATGTGTTTAGGAGAATCATTTACTTTGCAGTATATCAGGAATTGCTTATAATTATCTGCCTAGAATGAGTTACATAGGAATAGAAATTTAGCCTTGTAGGCAAGAAGTATCCAAGAGAATAAGTCTTCTATTAACATACTGAGCTTTTTCTCAAAACGAGTGAATGAAATTGACCCAGGGGTCTCACTGTAATTCCATGTTAAATGTGGAAAAATTCATTTTCCTCCCAACCTGTGTACACCTAAATGCTCTTTTCAATTTATTAATAGGTCTGTGTATGTTGCTTCTTATTCTGACATCTAGTAGAGAGTTTCAAATTATCAGGAGTTAGCAACAGGAAATGCATTTGTGTTCATTTTTATTTTTTGATAAATATGATCTTTATGAGGCACAATTGTGGATCTACTCAAATGCTTGTTTTTTTCTGTTTTGTTGTTTTTTTATTAGTTGGTTGGTTGTTTAGTAATACATGCCATTCTCAAGAGCAAAAGTAACACTATAAATTAAAAATAATTTAATAGATTTTTCTCCAAGTTGCTTAACACTGTAACATAAACATATGAAGACATCTTATGAACTATAAATATTACAATGTTAATAATAGTTACACCTTCAGTGCCTTTAGATAGTCCAGAGAGAAGAGAATTTTTAATCCTGTATTTGCAAGAGACTGATGATTACTGAACCATAATCTAATCTATTTAGCAGTTTTATCACTGAAAGTCACAAATCCTAAATTTCCTTTCCTTTTTCTTTCCTATTTTATAGCGCAGCAGCAGTTTTGGGAATTTTGACCATTTTCGGAGTAATTCCATATCAAAACCAGATGATTCAACTGGGGTTAGTATTCTATTCCATTTTAATGAGTGTTATACAAACACACTATGAAAAATTATGAAGCCAATGTAATTTTTGCAAATTACAGTAAGAAAAAGAAATATATTTAAAAATCATAACCTTGGATACATTTTGTGATAAATGAACAAACAATTATTTAGTATCTAGTACCATGCTGGACATTAAGAGTAAAAAGCTATCTAAGAAACCTAACGGATGTTTGGGAAGGCAGAACATCAACTTACGAAGAGATTTACAGTTTAAAGTATCACAGACGATCCCAAATTTTCTGAGCATTTCCACTATAAAACAACATATATGTTAAATTTTATGTAAGTTGTAATTGCTTTAATTTAGGAAATGATTAAATGGCTTAATTGGAAATTAGTTAAGGAGAGCATAGGCTGCTCATTTGCACTCTCATACTTCTGTACACTTTGAAATGTCTCAGTGGTGACCATTCCATACACATTTGCAAACCATGAACACTTTGAATGTAGCTTAAGAAAAGCTTCCCATAAAATTATTTACATCATCATCATCATCATCATCATCACTACATTTAACTGAGCACTTACCAGGAAGTAAGCACAGCACTAAACACTTTACCTACCTGTAAGTAGGAACTATTATTATTTTTATTTTATCACTGAAGAAATATGTTTGAATAAAATTACTTCTAAATTACACAGGTCATAAATGACAAAGGCAGGATGCAACATCGTGTCCAAAGTTTGCTATTTGTTATACTATCTCATAAACCATGGACCAACTGTGATAAGTGATTAATGAAATGTAAAACAACTAATAAAATAGTAGAGAGGAGGGACATACATTGAGAAAAGTAAAAATATATGCTTATCATTGAACCTGATTTATCTATTCATGTGATAGATTTGTTTTAGATCAATAGGCTTTAGATCTTATGCACTTCTTAATTATTCATTCTATATATTGCATCTTTATTTTTTGGGTTTTTTTTTATAAAGAATTCTTTTTATCATATCTGATTCTCAGAATACCTTTCAGATTCCTATATCCATCTACCTATAATATCTTTAAATATGTTTATTTCAGCAATGGATATTCTAGACAAAAAAATGTAGAAAGAAAATGACATCTATTATTACTTTATATATACCTCCATTAGTGCATACATATGCATGTGTATATATAATATATCCCCTTTTATACATATATTACATATATCCCTTTTTATTCACCTATATATTTATGCATAAATAAACTTACGGATAAACTTGTATACATGCATGAATATACATTGATAAACTTGTATATAGCTATATGGTCTATCATCATTTACACAGTTGTAAATAATACAATGCAGTATGTGTATACAAATAGTGAGAAGCCCTGTATAATTTTTTTTATCATGAGGGATTTCTTGTTGATCTTTTTTTTAAGTTTTTATTTTATATTGGAGTATAGTTGATTAAGAATATTGTGTTAGTTTCAGGTGTACAGCAAAGTGATTCAGTTATACATATACAAGTATCTATTCTTTTTCAAATTCTTTTCCCATTTAGGCTATTACAGAGTACTGAGTAGAGTTCCCTGTGCTATACAGTAGGTCCTTGTTGGTTATCTATTTTAAATATAGTTGTGTGTATATGTCAATCTCAAACTCCGATATTGTATAAACCTTCAACTTTCCATAATCATACATAGATATATTTACTGTTATTAAGTTTATAATTCTAGAGTTAACCTATAAAAGTTGCTCAGGCTCATTCAAATTCATTGATTAGTAATGGTGGCCTAGCAATCTGTGAAAGAATTTAGTGAACCTGATAAAGCAGTTTGCACATTTTTTAGTAAACCATTGTTCATTCATTCAGTAAATGTGTAATGAGCATCTACTCTATGACAGGATCTCCCTTAGGCACTCAGAAAGTACTGTTACAATACAGGTGAAAATCCTTACTTCATGAAGCCTAGAGTCTAGGAGGAGACAGACTTTAAAACAACAACAAAACCCATAAATAAATATCTAAATAAAATTGTGATTCAGGCTATGAAAGAGAACAGCACAGAAAAATGTTGAAGTTAAAAATATGTTTAGATAGTTTCTTCAAAGCTTTTGTAAAGGAAGATAGAAAAACTTGAAATTAAAAATATTTGTAGTACTCTTTTTTGAAACTTAGGTAACGGTAAGTTAGCACAGATAGTAATAAACTAATATACTTTCTTATTTATTTTAGTTTGTAATTTTACAGTGAATATAAAGAACATTGAAGTAGAGAAAAGAGAGAAGAAGAGGGAGTGTGGACAAATGACAATGTTTTTCATTTGCTTTATTATTTTGTTTTTTGTAAATAATTCTAACTAGGTACATGAAGGGGGACGCATAAATGAAAGTGGAGAACAAAACAAAACTTCAAATAATGGAGGAAGTTTAGGTAAAAAAACGAGAGCTATTTCCTGGACAATGAAGAAAAAAGTGGGTAAAAAGTATATCAAAGCCCTTTCTGAAGAAAAGGTAAGTGTCCTCTGTTAATCTACTTGTGTTTTCCTGTTAATTTTTTTCTAGGTAGTTTAGAAATATTTGACAGTTTGTGAAGGCCTTCAATGTATTTTCTCCCTCAATAACTGTGCCCAGAAGTTGGGTGGAAGAAAGCATTATCACATTCTCATAGAGGAAATTGAGGCTTAGAAAGATCACACATGTAGTATGTGAGGTACATATGTCATTTATGTTGTAACAAACAGTAGTACATCACTTCCTTTCATTACCAAATGATATTCCACTTTATAGATAAGCCTCATTTTATTCATCCTTTCATCAATTGATGAACATTTGGTTGTTTCCACTTTGGGATTATTTTAAATCAGGCTGAATGAATGATTCAGCCTGATTTAAAATATGAATATCTGTGTTCAAGTTTTTATGTGGAAGTATTCTTTCATTTCTCTTGGTTATATGGTAACTCTGTCTGATACTTTGAGAAACTGGCAAACTATTTCCCAAAGAAGTTGCCTCATTTTACATTCCCACTAGCAATGTGTGAGAGTTCCAGTTTCTCCACATGCTTGCTAACACTTGTTATTGCCTGTTTTTTTGATGCTAGCCACCAAAATGGGTGTGAAATGGATTCTCATTATAGTTTTGATTTGCACGTCCCTGATGACTAATGATGTTGAGAATCTTTTCATGTGGCCATTTGCATATCTTCTTTCAAAAAGTGTTTATACAAACGTTTTACCTGCTTTTTAATTGGGTTGTAGTTTTATTGTTGCTTTTAAGCTTTTTTTAAAAATATCTTATGGATACAGATCCTTTATGAGATATACGATTTGCGATATATTTTCTCCCGTTCATGGATAGTATTTTCATTTTCTTGATGTTGTCATTTACAGAACAAATGGTTATAATTTTGATGTAGTCCAATTTATTTTTTCTTTCATCAGTTGTGCTTTTAGTATTGCATTTAAGAAACCATTGCTTAATCTAGGGTTACAAAGATTTACTCCAATGTTTTCTTCTAAGATTTTTATGGTTGTAGCTCTTAAATTTTGGTGTATGATCCATTAATTTTTCTACATGGTGTGTGGTAGGAGTCCAACTTCATTCATTTGAATGCGGATATTCAATTGTCCCAGCACTACATGTTGAAAAGATAATTATTTCTCCATTGTACTGTCTTGGCGTCCTTGCTGAAAAATCAATTGATCATAAATATATGGTCAGAAATATACGGATCATAAATATATGTATTTATTTACAGACTCGCAATTCTATTCCACTGATCTATATGTCTTACACCTATTTTCTTTTTAACGCATTTCAATAGGATCTGTCCCCAGTACTCCATTAAAACAGTTGTCACAATCAGTATTAACCTCTATGTTGCCAAATCGAATGGTCACTTTTCTTTCTTCTTACATGACTTTTCAGCTGTACCTGATGCAAGTGATGATTTCATTACATATGAAACATTCTTTTTTCTTGGTTTCTTTGGGCATTCTTCTGACTTTCCTTCTTTCTCAAAGTTTCCTTTCTTAGCTCTGCTTTCTTTCCTGTCCTTCTAAATATTGAGTCTTCCTGAGGCTTGTTCCTAGATGTTCTACTAGTTTAGTCTCTCTTCCTAAGTGATCTCATCTTGTCTCATGACTTTTTCACAATTACATCTCTAGCTATGATCTCTCTCTTTTTTTTAAAAAAAAATATTTATTTTATTTATTTATCTTTGGCTGTGTTGGGTCTTCGTTGCTGTGCGTGGTCTTTCTCTAGTTACGTCGAGCAAGGGCTACTCTCCGTTGTGGTGCGCATTTCTTGTTGCAGAGCATAGGCTCTAGGCCTGCGGCCTTCAGTAGTTGTGGAGCATAGGCTTAGTTGCTCCGTGGCATGTGGGATCTTCCCGGACCAGGGCTCGAACCTGTGTCCCCTGCGCTGCCAGGCAGATTCCTAACCACTGCACCACCAGGGAAGTCCCATATGATCTCTTTACTTATCTATTATACTTATACAACCAATTGCTTATTTGATATTATCACTTAGATGCATAATAGATAACTGGAACCTAATATATCTAAAATGGAATTATTGATTCTCTAAGCTCTACAGAAAGTTTGTTTCTTGTCCAGTCTTCCAAGTAGAAATAACACTGTCATAACTGTAGATGCTGGAAAGAAAGGAGAGGGGGGAGAGAGAGACAGAGACACAGAGAGAAGAAAGCCTACAAATCACTCAAAACTCCTTATTTCTCTCACTTTTCACACCAATTCATCAGCATATCTTCTTGGTGCTAACTCCAAAGTATATCTAAAACCCTTAACTTCTCCATGTAAATTATTCCTGCTTTAGACTAAATAAACAAACTCTCTTGCCTAGATTACCTAATTGGTTTCCTTTCTTCCACTCT